AGCTACTTTGTGTCTGCCTCCCCAGCCATCTGGACAGAGGATACGGATGAAGATTTCAAATGTCTGGTCATCCCAGTCACCCTGGTACCCACCAAAGGAAGCAATTTCGATGGGATGGGCAGGCAAAGGAATGAGTCTTGAATCCAGGAGTTGACTGGAGAAAAAGCCTTTGCTCCTGACTATCTCGAATTACATATGGAGAAGTGGCAGGTGGCATGGCCTCAAGTAACACTATCCCATCTGAACACTTCGTCCCTCTGGTGACCCCCCTACCCTACCCGGAAAAGCCACCTAACTTCCTAGTACCCCGCTGTCCTCATTCACAAAAAGAGAAAACCAGTTGCTACCTCCTCTTTGGTGGCTTACAAAGACCATCTGACCCTGGCATCTGACCCAACTCTGTGTCTTACTGAGGTTAGGTGGCTCTTTCTAATTGATCAATGACATGTTAGTCTGATGGATAATGAATAAGGAAAGAAGAGCCTTGGATTCTCCATTTATGACCTTCAAAAAATGTTTAAGAAGGACACTAAACAAAAAAAAAATTCTAAATTGAGTTTCAGAGACATTTGGGAACCACTGCTATTGGGAGACAGTACCAGGGATGGGACACCGGACTTTTCTGCTTCATATAACTCACTTTTACCTGCTTATTCATATCTTGGGGTCTTGTGGGGATAGGGGGCTTGTGTATAAGCTTTTCTTTTTTCTTCCTTTTTGTTTTTTTTTTTTTTTTTTGTATGTCATGGGGCTTGAACTCTGGGCCTGGGCGCTGTCCCTGCACTTTACCACTTGAGCCACAGTAACATTTTTTGTTTTCTGGTGGTTTATTGGAGATAAGAGTCTCACGGATTTTCCTGCCCGGGCTGGCTTTGAACCAAGATCCTCAGATCTCAGCCTCCTGAGTAGCTAGGATTACAGGCGTGAGCCACCGATGCCCAGTAATAAGCTTCTTTTTGAAGAGAGGTTTTGTTGCGAAGTAATGCAAGAAAGCTTTAAAACTCCAAACCAGAAAAATGGTTCCTGCTAGGATGGTTTGAAATACGGCTTTGTCCACTCTGAAACTCATGGTGAAATGTGATTGGTGCTGAGCAGGTTTAGGGGTGGGACATAGGGGGAGGCAGCTGGGTCATGATGCTGGGTCATGAGTGACTGCTGCCTTTCTGGAGGCAATGGGTTACAGTGGGATTCAGTCCCTTTCTCTCTTTCATGTACACTGCCCCCGCCCTTTCTGCCTTCACCGTGAGTCTGTAGGCCCTCAATGGCCTCCAAAACAGCGGAGGAAATGCTTTCCAGTATGCATTACCCAGTCTCTGGTATCCTGTGATAGTCCTGTTGAACAAGTGAACGCATGACCCCTGAATGGGGCTGGCAGATGCCTTGGGCCCTCTGGAAGATGTCAAAGTTTCCCATTGGGCCCTGTTCTTAGAGTTTAATCTGTCTGCCACCTCCAGCAGGAGGCACAGTTGTGTCTGTGATTCACACCCACCTCCTTCACCCCTGCCCATTTGGGTTCAGGGAGCTGGGCAGGTGTCTGGATGGCAGCTTGGCTGAAGATGGAGCCAGGTGACCGAAGGAACTGATGATAATCAGTTCATTCATGAGCAGCAGCAGCACCAGGAACCATGACCCCAGCAGGGCTAACACACCTGAGTGATGTAGGCTCACACTGCAGCTTGGATAATCTCAGGCTTGGATAATGGTGAATTGAAGTAAGAAGAGAAAGTCATAGCACTGACACTGAAGTCAGAAGTGTTTGGAAAATCTCGTGGGAGTTTACCTGCTGTTGTTCGTCACTGCTAATGAACATGCCCTGGCCACTCCAGCTGGGGCTTGACCTTGGCTATCCACTGGAACCCTCTAGGGAGGTTCCAGAGGCCCCATCGTAGACCCAGGTGCCCCCCAAGGGTCCCGATGCCATTGAGCTGGGGTATAACCTGGACACTTCTCCCATGAGAGAACAGACAATGACTCTCGGCTGCTCAGCACCCCTCTTGGGGTCATTAATAGCACGTGGTGGCCCTTGGGTAATGCAGTTCAGGGGGTTCAGTGAGGTTCACAAGCTTTCAGGGGCTCCTGCTACTGCTAATAGCCTGGAATACTCTATCTAATTTAAATCATGGAGGTGATCATGGAAAGAATGAGCCAGAAAGTCACAAGTAGCTGCTTCAGGGACACAGGACCCGAAAGGAGGCCGTGGGAGACGGAAACCACTGCTTGCCTTGCGGGACCTCTGCTAACATTTGCAGAGCAGCTTTTTTGGAAATGTAGCCAGCATTCAGTATGAGTTAGAGACCTGAATTTGTGAGGGGAGCAGAGGAGCTGAGTTTCTAAAAGGGAGCCAAGGGGGTAGGCAATGTGCTGCTTCTGGGGTTTGCTCCACTGTGGCTCTGGGGATCAAAGTCCTCCCGCCCTCCCTTCCCCCCCACCCCCAGGGATGGTGAGTATGATTCCCCTGTGAGTTGACACCATGGAGCCAAGCCTGACCCAAACTGCTCAAAAGTTCTCCCAATTCTGGAGCTAGCTACAAGACATAGTTTTGCAGCAAACTCTCTCCCAGCCACACGCTCCGCTCCTCCACTCCCTCTTCTGAGGGTAATGAACCTTGATCTCAAGCCTCATTAAACCCCATTATATAATCAGCCCCATCCCGAGAGTCCCCTCATAACCCTCCCAGTGTGGGCTGTGATTTAGCTCCGTCTCTATCGACGCCCGCCCCCCTTCCCACCCGCTGCCCACAAAGCAGTCGATGGTCAACTCCCCTTGCCTCATCTCTGGGACCAAGAACAGACACACCGAGAGGGAGAGGGGCCTTGCAACCGCACCCTCCATGCCCTTCCCTGAAGGACATTTCCTGAAACACACAGGGTCCCACATGCCACTCCAGCTGGTGCTTCCACGACCACGCTAGGGAGCAGCGCATCCATTAGTCACTTGTTTTCCCTCAGTGGTGCTGCCCTGGAGGCAGCTCACAAAGAAAGACCCAGAACCCCCGCAGGTGGCAACAGTGCCCAGCCATCCCTCATCTTCAAGACGGCCAGAATGAAGGAGTCCCTTTTGGGCCACTCTGTACTCGCAGGCGCCCACAGGGACAGCTACCACCTGGGACCACCGATGCCCTGACTATTAACAGCAGAGTTGAGGGAGCGTGGGTGCCACTTCCTAGGGAAGCAGTCTCTAACCCAGAGGCACCTTTCCAGCCAGGCCGCTACCCATGACCATCCCCCACCCAGGAGAGAAAACTCGAACCAGAAAAGTCCCTGGCTGAACCATGAGGGGGTCGGGGGGAGGGGGGCGATAACCACACAGCCCAGTGCTGTAGATGACAGAATTGTGGCACAGAGGCTGTCAATGCTAGGTCTTCCTATTAAGTACCAGGTGACATAATGTCAGCTACCATCTATTAAACACTTACTGTATACAAGCCCTGTGCCGACAGAGCTCAACCCATAAGGGCTATGCTGACCCTCCATGAGGAGCCTGAGGTTCAGAGAGGCTCCTAGCTCTCTCAAGGACAGACACACAGCACCAAAGTACAGAGCTAAGGACAACAACCCAGCCTTTCCTCCTTCACCCCTCTGGGGCCCACATTCCCAGCTGTGACACCAACCTTCCCCTACTGGCACCACACACCTGGTCTGACAGCATCCCCCGCCCCTGTTCCTACTCACCCAGGCACGCGGAGTGCTGCCTCTGATTTCTGTGACTGTGATTTCTCTTGACAAACTGATCAGTTGGCTTTCGGCTGTTGACTGTGTGTCCCAAGTGCTGTTTTAGTTCCTACTTAGTTCCTACAAGGCAAGGCCTGCAGACTACAGGCCTACAGATAAGCCAGTCTCTGAATCTGTACCTTGCTGACATGGAGTCTTCCTTCCAGACCCTCAACGGGTCCCTGCAGTCCCCACCAAACACACACCTGCACACAGACCCCCAGTTCTCCTTTGCCTTCATAGCTTTCATCAAGTTGTCAAAGGGACCCCTGACTTACCAGGGGAAAACTTCAGAACTCTTAGGCTTAGTAATAAAACCTCGCCCTTCAGGAAAGGTGATTGTTCTTTTTACTTCTTGCTGTGCATTTGAGACACCTTGGCTATCAAATGAGGACTAATGATTATACTGGTCAGCTTTCGGTAAGAAAGAAATAGATTCATATCCCAGCTTAGCTGCTGTGCAACTTAAGAGCAAGTTCCCTGGTCCCGAGCCTCGGTTTCCCCAGTTTGCAAAAATAATAACAAGAACTAAATGTGGTCCCCCAAGGTAAGCAAGGAGCAGGTCCTAATAAGGCCCGCGACCATTTCTTATGTATGAACGACACAACATGACACAGGAGCAGTCAAGCGCTCAATTCACAGCAATCAGCCAATCAGAGTTGCTGCTTTGCTGGAGGAGCCAATGGGTGTCACCAGAGGACTCCCCTGGGCCCCCGCACATCTGTGTCCCACAGCTAAACCAGCCTCTGAGCAGAGAAGACCACAAGCTTTCTGAAACAATCAGTCCTGATTGCCAGAAACTTCCTTTTCTATTCTGAGTCATAACCACCCTGTCCCCAGCAGAAATGTGTAAGAACAGAGTCTGAAACTACCCCAGGCCACCATCAGCCCAGTTTGAACCTGACTCCATCTCTGAGCAGTAGAGGCCACATAGGCTGGCCAGAGCAAAGCAAAATGCAACATTCCCGGTGCCTTAACCTACAATGGCCAAGAAGATTCTGGAACCAAGCAGCTGAAGAACGGTAGGGAGGAGGGAGGAGGGCTGACATGCCTGTGGAGATCCTTGTCATAACTACCTGCCCGCAAAGAGCAGGGGCCAGGCGCACAATGTCAGCAGCCGAGAGCTGAGGACACCCCCTCCAAGCCACCCAAAGGGGCGGGTTTGGCATGGGGGGAGGGCGAGGGGGGAAGCAGGTGATGCACAAGAAAAATGTCTGCACCGTGGCAGCCGGCATGGAAGACAGTGCAGCCTGGGGGAGACGGGGCAGGCGCAGGCGAAGGGAGACTTACTTGCAGAGCAGTTGGCCTCGGAGTGCACGGGCGGGGTGGAGGGCAGGAAGGGCGCGTGCCCCACAAAGAAGGAGCGCAGGGAGCGGTCGGACAGAAGCGGGGAGCGTGGCTGCGCCGGAATGTTCTCGCAGCTGCCCACGCCGCCGCTGTGGATCTTGAGGTTGAAGGGTTTGCTCTTTTTCTTGGCTCTGGAAAAAGGAGACAGAAAAGGAGCTAGAGCCGTATTATGCATTGAATTAACCCCGGCCTTGGGTCTCCACAGGGGGAAGGGGGAGAGAGAAAAAGCAGTTCCCAGGGAGAAAATGAGAAAAGATACAGTTTGGGGGGACAGGATGGAGGTGGTTTTGTCCCCAGGTCCTCTTGGATCCTCTGAAGAGCCCATTTCTGCTGTGAAGACCCAGGAAGACATAATAGGCCATTCTTTTCCTCTTAGCTCCCTGCGAAAGTTCTAGAAAATGAAGGTCAAGTTCAGCTCCCAAATCCAACCCTGGACATCCTGGGGTCCCAGGGCTGCAGGCACTCGGCCCTCTACCATGCTGTCCTCTGGTGGACTGGTAGCATCCAGGAGACCTGGGTCAAGGTGGCATCACCCCATGCCAGGTTCCCTGCAACCAATTGTATAAAAACCACCAACCTGGGAGGGAGGGAGAGGGCAAAGGAAGGCACGAATGTTCCGAATCCTTTGTGTCCATGTGTGAGAATGGACCAGTGATGCTGGCATAGTCAAGGGTAGGGAGGGGGACGAAGAAGAGTCACGGGGGGGGGGGGGGAGTCTGGTCAAGATACATTGTATGTGCCTATGGACATGTTAAAATGAACCCCCCTTGTACCCCCCCCCCCAAAACACATACCACACACACACACACACACACCCCTTCCTGACACCTTTCAGGAGATGTAAACAGATCAAACCTCCAGTGGGAAGCCAATAACCCTTGGTGGAAGCTTCTGCTTGTTGGGGTTTCTGCTACAGAGCCCCTTACCCTGAGCCCACCTGTGAGTCTGTCTGGTTCTCATCTGAGGCCCTACCAAGTACTAGGCTGGTGCTCCTTTTAGGAGTACTGAAGGCAGGAAGCTCCCAGCACCCTGGGCTGGATCACTGGGGGTTGGGGGAGGAGCGGGGGGCATGAGTACTGCAGGGGTAGAGAGACAGTCATCCAAAAGAGACCCTGGAAACCAGGCATCATGGCTCATACCTGTAATCCCAGATTCTCAGAAGGCTGAAATCAGAGGCTCACAGTACAAAGCTAGCCAGGGCAGGAAAATCTATGAGACTGATCTCCAGTTAACCACCAAAAAGCTGGAAATGGAAAAGTGGCTCAAGTGGTAGAGCATCAGCCTCGAATGAAAAAGTTCAGGGACAGTTCTTGTGCCCTGTATTCAAGCCTTAGTACCAGCGTGGGTGCGTGGGTGCGCACACACACACACACACAGGGACCCTGGGGTACCTTGCCCTTCCCTCTGTCTAGCCCCTCATAGCACTCCTGGGTGGGGTGGGGTGGGGTGGGGTGGGGTGGGGTGGAGGTGGGTGGTGAATGACCAGATTGCAGGGACAGATGCTTGCGGTTTAGCTTCCCCCTCTCTGGGGATCAGTTAAGTTTTCAATTCACCTCATCTCTCTCACCATGGGGGAGAAGATGGAATAAAAATCATCTCTGAATCACTGCAAAATATCCACGTTTATTCTAATTCTATCCTGAGAATTCACTGTTTACTAACTCCAGACAGAATCTGCTGCTAAAACAAAATGGGAATGTCAGTGCCATTGAGCCCTGCTTTTTGTTTTTTTTTGGGGGGGGGGGTCTCTTTAAGGCCCAAAGATGATGTGGTGACCCGTGTGCACCTGGGCCTAGGGAGTGACTCATCTCCCACGGGAACTTCAGTATTTGTGGGAAGATTTCTAAATGAAAGAAGAGAAAGAAGAGCCCAACTCTGGAACCTCACAACTCATGGCCATGGGCTCCGTGTCCCTCCTCCCCAAGGGAAAGGGAAGAAGGGAACCATGGCTAAGTCTTGTACCTATGCCCAGCCGGGCACTGGTCCTGCCCACCCAAGTGAAGACCATTTGGCTCCTGCTGCAGAGAAGATCACCTTCCGCTCATGTTAACCACCGCAAGCTGCCTGCCTGGTTCATTTCCATTTGTCTGAGATGACCCAGCCCCTCTGTACCTCCTGCAGGCAGCCATCCTGGAATCCAGTCACTCTGAGCAAGGTTTGGAAGTGCCTCCTCCAGGAAATCTTCCCTAACAACCCCCCCCACCCCCCCCACACACACCCCTCTCCTGGCCAAGGACAGCCATCCTTCTCAGTTCTCCCCATCAATATGGCTGCCATTTCCTATTTTTTTCAAAAAATGTCACCTCCCCATCAGATGGGGGCGGGGGAGTGCTTTGAGAGCAATGGCTGTGTTCCATTTATCTTTATATCCTAGGCAGCCAGCACAGAGTCTGGTACACAGTAGGTGCTCATGACATTCTTCTTTTTAAAGGCCTGTCCTGGATGAAGACTCTGGCACGAATCATACCCATTGTCTTTCTGTTTGATGAATGGGAAGGAGCTACAGGGCTAGTTTGCACACTTGTCCCTGTCCCCAGGAGCTGGTTTAAAGAGTGCCTGGCTTCAAAATGTACCCAAGGTTCCTCTCAGAGCCCCTCCTGGTCCCCTCCCCGGAGTGACCTGGGAATCCCGGTTATCTTAGATCTACGCCTCCCCCAAGCTGGCTGCCTGGGCCTCTGTTCTGCTGATGATCCCTGCAGGGGTCCCACAGCAAGGACCTGCTGTGACTGCAACTGCTGGTGGTTTCTCAGCCTAGGGCTGGAGAAGTCAGGAGGAGTGGAGAAGGCGATTTCCTTCCCCACAAAGCTACAAAAATGAAGGCTCAGAGAAGCTCCAGGCCCTGCTGGTTCACACCTGTAATTGCAGCTACTCAGGAGGCAGAGATAGGAGGATCTCAGTAAAGAGGGGGGTGGGGGGAGGTAGACTAAAATCTTACCAAAATAACTAAAACAAAGGAGCTGGAGGTGTGGCTCTGGTGATAGAGCCCTGACTAGCTCCCAAGGAAAAAAAGAATGAGTCAGCCAATCTATGCTGAGAGATGGCTAGCAGCATGAATTTCTCTGGGAGTCTTACTGACTGGGCAAGGGGCAAGCCTTCTGGGGAAGCTGAAAACACCTCTGTCTCAGCCGGTCACCTGCTGCACGGACAGACGTAAAAACTCACCAAGCCAGCTGTAAAAATTAAACCCTCCTGCACATCAGTTCTGGCTTCCAACAAGGTTTTTATAACAACAACAACAACAAGATGAGTAACCCAATTTTAAAAAAATGAAAAAGGGCTTTTTATAGACATTTCTCCCCAGAAGCCACCAAGCTGACCCTCTTCAGGGAAAGGCACATGGGAATCACGTGACATTGGCCTTCCAACCCACCAGAGGCCACGGACAAAACCCAAGCTGGAGATAACCAGTGTTGGCAAGGAGGAGGGAAGCTCTTCGCTGCTGGAGGGAGGGGGAAGGTGGAGGTCCACTTTATAGATGAGGACACAGAAGTCCAGAGAAGGGAGATGGCCCAGAGGTGTAAACGCCAAACACACCCCCAAACCAGGGCACTTCAGGAGTGCCTGTGTCAGGCCCTTCTGGGGACAAGGAGAACATGAGAGACAGCCCTCATTGTCACAGGCCAGCACCAAGCTGTGCCAGCTCAACACCAGGGTGAGCAACTACAAACCTGAGCTCCACGGTGAGAGTCACCAGCTGACTTGATTCCCGAGGCAGGTGAGAGGGAGGGGCGCCAGCTCTGGGTCTTCTGGGAGGTGACCCATGAGTTTGCACCTGGCCACACCCCCCAGTTCTTCTAGACCAGCCATGGGTGAACAATGAGCCGAGGCCAGGCCCGAGTCAGCCCTGAGCCTTGCTCCTTTTTGTATACAAAGCTTTCTTGGAGCCCCACTGTACCCTGTCATACTGTCTGGGCTGTCTGGGCAAGAGGTTCCTTGTGACCGAGGCTGGATGACCTCGAAGGCTGCAGTACTGACTAGCTAGCCCTTCACCCAAGAGTCCAATCACTTCTGCACCAGGCCACCTGCCCTCCAAGGTTAAAAAAAGAAAGAAGAGGAAGGGAAGAGCCCTTAAGAGTACCAGGGTCCGCATGGGATTTGTTTTTCCTAGAGTGTGAAATGTCTCTCAAATTTTTAATGCCTATAGAATAAACATAGTCAACAGCATGGTGATGCACATCTTTAATTCCAGCCTTCAGGAGGCTGAAGCAGGAGGATCGTGAGTTTGAGGTCAACCTAGCTTACACAGTGAGACCCTGTTCCAAAGTAATAAAAGATGAGGGTGGGAGCAGACCTGGGTGTCCTCAAAGCCAGTTGGTTCCCACCCATGTCAATCATTCCACTGTGGGTGCTGCTCACATACATTCTGCTCACAGGCATCCGTCCCTGGACTACAGGAAGTGCACCAGGCTGTCAACAAGCAGGTTAACTGGGAAGAATCCATCTTCCACTTGCACCTGGGTATCTTGCCAAAGGCAAGATCATTTGGGAATGATCCAGAAGCCCAAGCACAGCCCCCTACCCCCCACCCTCCACCATGATCCAGGCTCTTCCAGACAAAGCAGGGGCCGGGGCTCAGCCTTCCAGGCCAGATTGGATTGGTGTGGGTGTCCTGGCCTGCTGATTTCCTGCCTCTCTGTGATTAGCCACTAATCTTATTTTTTTCCCTTTGTTCCCCAACCCGTAAATCAGTTACAGACCAAATATTTACACAGCCTATCATTTCCGACTGAAGGAGGTCTCCTGACAGCCCTCATTATTAGAAATGATGACTGATCTGGGACAGAGACTTCACTGACACGTGGCTGGGTGCTTTCCTTTAAGTTTGCTTCCTCTATGGCCTGAAGATCATTTCCAAGACGAATTGGCATAGAGCTCTTCTCGATGTCTCCCTGGGGCTGGGTGGGGGGAAGGGGGGCCCAGGCAGTCTCCCGTCACCCCAATGTACCGTGCTCAATGTACAATGCTCCCTCTTCCTCTTGGCCTCACCCTTGGCCAGACAATGGATTCACATTATCTGACTCAAACACAATTCCCTAGAACCAGAAATTTATATATACACATATAGAAAAAGACAGCCAAGTACAGACCCAGGGGAAAACAAACATCTTTACTGGTCCCCTTTGACTACCTT